CTTATCTCTGTGGGACAATTTGTCAGTCAACAATTAAACTTTATTGACGGGTAAAAATTACCAAGAATGAAACTGAAGGTAGGCGTGGGCCATATTTCCAAGGACCCTGTGTGCCCTGCTGGGAGTTTACACTTATTAATTTATACATTTAGCTTTATGTTTGTAAAATATTTAAATAGACAAATACCAAAAAGTCCGAGGGAATACATAAATTAGATGGCAATAGTCAAGTTAGGAGGGGGGAAATAGTCTTATAGGTCATACAGCCCTAACTAGAGTGAAGGCTGAAGTTCAAATACTGAGCCACAGGAGCCAATCCAAAAGGAAAAAAAAAAAGTATCACAACCTGTTCATAGGACAAAACACCAGGTCTTCAGATTAGCAAAATGAGTGGCACTTAGGTGAGTAGATTTTCTTGGGCCAAACTTTATAAACCAGAACCACGTGACATGTGGTACGGACTGTTCTCAACAGAGGCTGATGCTAAAGGCCTTCAAGGGTTGAACAGGTGTTCCTTACAGGTCCCTTCACGAGGCTATTGAGAGAGTAAGGTGAAATAGCAACTCGGTGTCATCTGGTTTAGGCTGGTCTAGGCTGCCAGGGGACGAGAGATGAAAGTCACCTTGCACCCCACCATCCTTCTGTCTCCTCACGTATTGATCTATGCTTGCTTAAAGCATTTGTCACTAGGTGACAGGATGTATCTGGTGTCACTCTAGGATGTTATCTTAGAGCGCATCTGTCTCTTCCACTGGTGCATAAGCTCTGAGAACACTGTGTCCTTGTCCCTCGCCACGGCTCTGGTGCCCACAGTATTGACACATGGCTTGACCACTGAGTGAGTGGGATTATGAATTCGTCTTGGACAGTGGCATCTCCAGTGATGTTCTGCAGCAACATTCTAACTCTATCCTTTAAAGCCAGCAGCAAGCTCCTCGTTGTGACAACACAAAGCGTCTTCAGACATTGCTGAATGTGCCCTAGGAGGTGGATGGCCCATCTGAGAACCACTGCCCTGCATGACCACTGTGCCCTTCATTTGTCTTGACCCATGACTCCGTGGTTTGCTCTACTTCAGCCCCACTGGCCTCTGGATCTTTCTTGAAAGTGCTAGGCGTGCTCTACCTGGAGTCTGTGCCTGGGCTCTTCTCTTTGCCTGCACATCTTCTCCCAGACCCTCCCTCGTCTCCGCCAGCTCTCTGCTCACTCCTCACCATGACAGTGTACCTTGGTTAAAATTCATACCCCACCCCCACTTCTCTTCCCCTCTCTGTTTCCTCATGTCATTTGTCACTAATCCACTATGCCATTAACTAGTCAGTCACTCCTGCTAGAATATACTCTGCATGAGAGGCATGTTCACTTTTTTGACCCTGACTCCTAGGATGGTTCCTGGGAGGTAGTAGGTGCTCGATAAATAGTTGTTGAATGGCTGAATAACTGAGTGCATGTATGAGTGAATTTTTTTTCTTTAACCTAAAACTTTTCAAAGTAAACTTTCTACCACTGACTGAGAAAGTTTCATTAATGTACAAATGGAATATTTGACTTCAAGCTGTTGTGGAAAATTGAGATTCTGTATTGGGTTTTAAAATTAATCTTTGAAGGTCACTTTTCATTTTACTTGAACAATACTTCTACATTTATATATGTATCTAATACTTTTTCAAGGAACTATCTGTAATTTAGTTGAACTACTGATTTCAAGTAAGTCTGTTTTGTCCCTTATGCTGGTGAAATTAATTGGATCTAAATTTGGGATGTCATAGGCAGTGGGTTAAATTTGTCAGGGACAGTACAACATTTTACACCTTGCAGTGATCAATACAGTTTTCCACAAAATATACTAATAAACGTAATTTCCTATAATAAACATTCACAATCTCTTTTAAGTTAACAGTTTTAAAATTATCAAAATGAACATTTTAATATTATAGGAAAGCTCTTTGTTCTTAGAAAATATATTCAGAAATAAATCTAACTTTCTGGATGACATGATAGAGAATACACAATGATTTAACCAAAATTTTATGGTTGTGGATATGCAAACATCTGTTCGTCTCCTGCCCCATTCATCAATCAAGGTTTAAGAAACAATTCAGTGTTTTGCTTTGTCAAAAGCAATTGTTTTAGCAGTTTTTAAAGCCTCTTTCAAGGTTCCTGTTTAAAATAAAGCAAAACAAAATGTGTAGCTTCTGTTTCAGCTTTAAATCCAATCAAAGCTAACCCGATGATATTTGATTTGGGGATTTTAATAATTTATTTTCAAAAGCGACATATTTTCTGTGGCACTACTGGATGAGTTATATGCAAATACATCCCTCAAACAAGCAAGGAAATTTATCTGCAGCATGGAATGCCTGGATACAAATCAAGTAAATTTGAGAAGACAGCTGCCAAAACCAATGGCATATAGTAATTTATCACGACACAGAGGCCCACTTTGGAACTGTATGCATTGGGCGTGCACAGCATTTACATTTCAAAGGTGGTCACAAATCTTCGGTGTACAAAGGACTCCAGACAGGACTCCTGTAAATATCCAACATGTATTCTGTTGGGCATTTGAGCAAGCACAAGATTTTTCCTTAGAAGACAATTCTGAAAAAGAAGTTTCCTATGTAAATGGAGAGAATTCGAACAGTTCTTGATGCAGTTTCATCCAGTTTCCAGCTGCTAAGTCCACGCAAAGACACACAAAGGGAACAAGCTCACATGATAAAAAGCCAGAGGTGTCTGCAGCCTACTGCTAGGATGCAGAAGAATTTCCATTTCCAAGAAGAGCACAGAGAGATGATACAAGTTGAAAACACAGCTCTAACTGAAGAAGGAGGTCTTTTCCTTTTATTCCAGTAGTTTCTATGATAAAATCAAAGACTGTGTTCTTAAACTCAAGGAGACTTGGTTATGCAAAGCAAAAGAACTTGTTATATTTCCTTAACAAAAATATATTCAATCAACAAAAGAAACACACCTATACAAAACCTGTCAGTTTGGTCAAGCTAAATGTCACGATTTATTTCCTGGCCTCATAATTGGTTGTCAGGTTGGGGTCCAACAACCGTCCATTCAGTCACTTGTGCAAGGGGCATTCTCTGATAGTGTGAGACATAACCTTAGGCTCAAGGATAGTTTTGCTTAAAAGGGAGTCACTAGGGGAGAAGGGGGAGAGAAGAAGGCACTAGAAGTATAACTAACCACAAACTGAATCCAGCCACATGAAAAGCATTTTGCATACTGACCTAAGTGGGTATTTCTTCCAGGAGCATAAAGGTGAATCAGTACTAGGAAATCTAGCCATTCCATGCATACATTAGTAAGTCACAGATGAAACCAATAGATAATTTCCATGAAATCAGAAATGACATTTGATAATGTTCAGCAATCATTGCAGCCTTCTGTTTAGTGATACATTCCACAAATATCCCTTTGTGGTCAAAATTATTCTGGAAAAATTTCTGATACATTCTTTGTCTCTGGAGAAGAGAAGATGATAGAGTTGCAGTTGGTATAGAGGTGTGTGTGTGTGTGTGTGTGTGTGTGTGTGTGAGAGAGAGAGAGAGAGAGAGAGAGAGAACCTGAGAATCAGCTGGAATCTCTGACCCGTAATGAAAGCTCAGTGTGACGACTGGTATCAAAACCCTAGCATCTTACATGTCAGGAATGATCACTAGCAAGTATGACAGGTGCCACATGAACGGGATGGGGAAGTGCCTTGTGATCAATAGCTACAAAAAAATCTTAACTACGCAGCAGAAAACTTACCAAGAAATGTACCAGAATTATAAAACATGCTTGAGACAAAACATATTAGAGAGAATTATGAATAACCCTCTCCTCCTCCCAAAGGCAGGCAGGCACAGGATTGTGCTATGGGCTACTAGGTCGTGATCCTGGGCTGACCCTTGGAGATGGGGTCTCTGTCTAAGCTTAGGATAGGAGGCTGAGGGGAGGGAGAGGAAGGGAGGGTGGGACAGTGGCCGTGGGAGGAATTTTGGAACAGTAGAGTTTTGAACACTTGCTGCCACAGGGTGTGTGACCCAGGAGATTGAGCAGTAAGTCAATCGAGATGATTTCCAGAGCATCAGAGTCTGGCCACTGCCGTCTCCTGGAAGTCACAGTAGGGCTTGGGGTCAGAACTGAGAAATGTGCTTCTGTCTGTTTATTTTTTTAGGTGGTAAGGCTTGCTAATGTAAGGCTTCTCTTTTGCCTCTCTTCCTCTCCCCTCCATGAAGTCTCCTGTAGTGATCTACATTGCTTTGCATAGGCTTCGGAGCCACATTTGTGGTTTGTTTCAGACCTGTCACTACCCTCAGGGTGACATTAAGAAGGGAGCAGGAAGGCCCCATTTTATTTGGAGTTTGCAGTAACCTCAAAAATAAGCTTCAGAACTCTGTGAGTTACAGCCCTTTGCTAAGATAACGTTACTGTAATGAGCCACACAAAATACTTACTTGAATTATACTCCTTTCGTTGTCCCTTGCATTCAGGGAATCTGCTTCTGTACACTGAGGTCAATGTATAGAGTCATTCAGCAAATTCTTTCAGTGCCCTGGAAGGATGGTCTGAGCACAACGTTGGCTTTTTTTTTCTTTTTTTGCAAGTGCTGTCTCTGATGAAGATTTAAGTTGGTTGGAGTGACATCTCATTTAATGGCTGGAGCACACTGTATCTGCTCGAGCATGATTGCCATTTCCATGTCAGGCCAGCAAAACTTCATTTTTAGCTTAAAACATGTCGTCCTTTCCAGGTTTATTTTTAGGAAGATTGAAAATGGCTGGGATAAATATGAATGAAGAAGTGTAAAAATAAATGTCTGAAATTAAACTGCAAAGAAATACGTACTATTTCTTGTAAAGCTGGGATTTTTAAACCAGATTATGACATAAGGGATGTGATTAACATACTCCGCATTGGGATCTTTATTAAAGGGACATGGCGATTTCGAGCTTCGGCGTTTCACAGCCCAAGGTAACACACACTGGGTCTTTGTGTTCTAGGCGACTTTTTCCTGCACCTGTGAGGACCAGTATGTGGGCACGTTCTGTGAAGAATTTGATGCGTGCCAGAGGAAGCCCTGCCAGAACCAGGCAAGCTGTGTGGACGCCGATGAAAAGCAGGATGGGCGCAATTTCACCTGCCTCTGCCTTCCCGGTATGGTGTTCACAGCTAAGAGTGTGCATTTCTCTGTAGAATGTGTGCTCATCAGTTAAGTTTGGTTAAATGATACTTTGTCCCGCCAAGGGACAAGGTAACGTCGAGACCTCATTTGATTCTCTCAGTCTGCATGTAATCAGGGATGGAGGCAGGATTAATCATGTCCCTCGCCTTGATTTCTGATTTTGAGTGCTTCCTTTTTAGCATTCCACCATTTTTGTCCTGGAAAAATAACATTTTTGGTCAAATAGAATCCGGGATGTTTCCAAAACAATTTCGTAAGAATGTACTGGGCGTGGGCTGGCACTGTGCCGGGTGATTGTGTTAAGTCAGTTAAGAAAAATCAAGGATGAACTCCACAAGCTGGTTAGGCAAAGCCACCAAATCCTGTTTACGTTAATTTCCTTTTGTTTATGTACGTTGGGTTGCCCAAGTTTGTGGGAGGCTGTTCTGCACACGGTGGCGAGTCCTCAGCATTCCTCGGTTAGTAACATCTTGGATGTTAGAAGAGACTTTGAAGTCCTCTGGGCACACTGTGACTCCCAGGAGGTCGCAGTGGCCATGTGCCTACAGATCCCGATGCTCTGGCACTCATCTTACTGCTCAGCCTACCAGGTGACACACCCTGGGGGAGCCCGAGGGCATTTGACCAGTGAACGTTCGATAGGGCTGTTTCTGCGCAGCTTGAACACCACCAGCAGGTTACTCCTTTTTCACTGTCAGCTAATACACAAAACTGAGGTCACCTTTCCTCTTTCCATCTCATCCCGTTGCCAACTTCTGCCCCTGGGTGGGGATTCCGGATGAGGATGGAGGGGAGCAATGGAATGAGTGGGTTGTGGAGACGAGGTACTCACGATACTTCAACAACGTAGAAGTTTATGGATTCAAAAGCAAGAGTACTTCAGTCCTTTATCCCCATCCGAATTTAATAAAATCACAGGAAGAGGTTAAGGGTGTGGCATATTCTCTCCAGACCCAGTGGGGTGTGTGTGTGTGTGTGTGTGTGTGTGTGTGTTCATCATCTGGACAGATGATGAAGTATTTTTCTGCATGTTTCAAAAAGTGATTATGATGGTGCTCTTGGACTTGCTTTGCAGTGTCATTTGCTGGTAGATGGCAGACATCCTTTCTTGACAGAACTTAGGGCACAACCCATTCGTCCGGACAGTCCTATACAGTGTCTTTGCTCATCAGCTTTTCATTGCTGACAAAACCAACTGACCTTAGGAGGAAAGGTTTATGTCACCTCATGGTTCGGTCCCTGGATACTTAGCTCCATTGTTCCCGGGCCTGTGTGAAGCGTATGTCATGGTAGAAGGGCGTGGTGGGGCAAAGCTCTCACTTCACGGTGAGAGAGAGCCAGAGGAAGGGGCCAGGCACAAGACAGCCCCTTCCACAGCATGCCCCCAGTGGCATTTCCTCCGACTAAGCCCTACCACCTGCAGTGTCCACCACCTTCCAGTAGTCCATCCGGTTAGGAATCCACCAGTGGATTCTGTATTGAGGAAATCAGAGCCCAGTCTTTCCCCAGAGCCCCATCTCTGAGCAGTGTTTCATGGGGGACCAAGCCTTCAACATGTGAGCCTTTGGGGAACAGTCCAGATCCAAACCATAGCAGTCTCTTACCTCCTACCCACGGATCTGACTGCCTACGTGGTATCTGTCTAGATGCCCAGGCCACCTGCAGCTCAGTCGTCCCCAGAATTAACCCCTCAGGCAGCAGCACCTTGTAGTTCACCTTCCAGTGTTCCATCCATTTCTGTGACCAGACACCTACAGGTCACCCTGGTGCCCTGTCCCCTGCTCTGTCACATTCCCTCTACTTCCAGGTTTTCTCTATTTTATCACCTCAAGACCTCTCATATTCTCTGCGCCCTCTGCAACCTCTCTGTCATCTCGCCACCCCCCCCCCCAGGCCTGTTGTCTTGCCTGTGCTACTGACTAGCCTCTGTGATGTCTCATCCACTCTTGACCCCACTCACCCTTTCACCACGACGGCCTCTGTGGCTGTATCTCCAGGTGGCCACAGGGACCATTTCCAATGGAAATCTGATGAAGTTGCTTTCCTGCTTCCACTCCTTCTTGCCAATGCTCTTTGACTCCTTCTCTGTGATGTCTCTCTTGCCTGCTTTTCTAGCCTGCCTCATCCCAGTGACTCCCTTGCTGTGGGATCCAGGCACCTGGCCTTTCACCTCCCCAACAGCCTGAACTCCTTCTTGCCTTAGGGTCCACCCTTTCTTCCAGGTGCCTGTCACAGCCTTCCTTTCTCTCTCATTTTTGCCTGTTAATCACACGCAGGGCAGACCTCTGTTACATGTCCCTTTTTATCAGGAAGTCTTTGGCTTCAGGACAAGTCTGCCTGTTTTCCTCTTTGACAGCCCTGTGTTCCTGCCTGCATGGCTCCTGTCTGTCTTTAGGACACACTTGCATATGCAATTTTTTGATTACCGCCTGACTTTCCTTCCAGAGTTAAGCCCCATGAGAGCGGGGCCAGGATTGATATTGTTCCTCTTGTATTCCACCGTGTCTGAGGAATCGTGGATGCTCAGTCCATGTGGGAATGAGATGAGTCAATGAAAGAGGATCGATGTAGGCTGATGTTTTAAGCCATTCCTCTGTTGATGGATCTCTAATATGTTTGCAATTTCTCTTCTTATAAGAAGTGCTTAAAAAAATAAAGAATTTTCTAAAACACAGGTTGAACACCCATAGTTAAAACATACAAAATCAGAAATGCTCCCATTTGAATTTGAAAGTTTCCCAGGGTTGTGTTGGTGCATTTCAGATTTTGGATTTTTGGATTAGGTATGCTCACTCAACCAGTCATGTCTCTGCAAATATCCCCAAAATAAAAAAAAAAAAAACTCCCAAATCGGAAACAATTCTGATTCCAAGCATTTGCCTAAGGGATATTTGACCTGTGGTCTGTCAGAATTGGCAGGTGGAAGTTTTCACTATATGCATGAGAATGATTTTTGGTTTGATATTTTATTGAGGTCTCCTCTCAAAGGGGGTTTCCCCATACTTTTTAAAGGCTCTCCCATGTGTAGAATGAGAATGCTACTAATGCTTGTGTTTGAGACCAAGGAGATAGGTTTGGGGAATTTGGAATTATCTGAATACTTTCTTAGTTGGGGAACCTCTCCTCTTGTCCATGCCTCGGGCCTGTTGGTGTATATTTACTAAGTACTAATGAACCAAAACCAGAAGTTATATCTGATAACTAACCCTAAAGTCCCCTCAATGAACCACCTCTCCACCTCTACTTCCCACCCAAAGGAAATGGTCACCCTAAATCTTGAATTGATCAGTACTTTGTTTCCCCTTTTCATGGTTTTAACCATTTGCATGTTTTTATAAGAGGATTTATTTCTTTCAGTTTGTTTTCTTTTATTGGTGTATTAGAATTCTACATAATAGTAGGACTCAATTGTACATTATAGTAAGATTCCTGTAACATACATACACATAACAGAACTTGGTTAATTTAATTCCCCAGGACCTCCACTGCCCCTCCTTGTCCCCCTTCCTCTATTGGTCTTCCTTCTGTTATCATGAGATCTTCCTTCTCCTAAAACCTTTTTTCCAGCTCCCACATGTGAGGGAAAACGTACAACCCTTGACTTTCTGAGTGTGATGTTTTCCACTTAATATAACGCTTTCAAGTTCTATCCATTTTTCTGCAAACGACATGAGCATTTTAATTATTTTCAAATTTTAGAAAATGGTATCATGTGTGAATTAAGTGACAGCATCAATTTGCACCTCTCTGGCCCTTACTTCTTGCACTTAATACTATGTCACTGAGGCATAGACAACTTTTGTTTTGGTACTGGGAATTGCAACCAGGGGTGTTTATCACTGAGTCACACCCCTGCTCCCCCATCCTTTTAAAAAAATTTTGACACAGGGTTTCACTAAGTTGCTTAGACAATCCTCCTGCCTCAGCCTCCCAAATAGCCGGGATTACAGGCGTGAGCTGTGGCACCTGCTAGAGTTCATTCTTTTTGACTGCCATGTGGAATTTAATTCATCTGTTCTTCTGTGGATGGGAACTGATATGCATTCTCGTGCATGTCTTCTGTGTGTACGTGCTAGAGGAAAGATGAGCACTAAATGTGCTGGAACATGTGTGATCCATCAATTAAGGAGGTCTTGTCAAAGTACTTTTCAAATTTTTTACACAAATGTAAACCCACATGTGCAATGTATGAGTGATGTTGTGGATTTGCAACTTCTTGGTAGTGTTAGACTTTCAATGTTTGCCAACCTGATGAGTACAAAATAAGTATCTTATGTGATCTCTGTGTTTTGCTGATCAATATGGACATTGAACTTCTCTTCATGTGTGTTGGTTATACACATTTCCTTTGTATGTGATATTTGTCTTTCCATTTTGTTTTTCTTTTCTTTCTCTCTCTCCCCTCATCTCCCACACTATTGTTTTTTGGTACCAGGGAGTAAACTCAGAGATGTTTATCCACTGAGCCACATCCCTAGCCCTTTTTATTGTTATTTTGAGATAGTCGCTGAGGCTGAATTTGAACTTGTAATCCTCCTGCCTCAGCCTTCCGAGCCACTGGGATTACAGGCACGTGCTCCTCTGTGCCTGGCTTTTTGCATCTTTCTTCTGTATTATGTGTGTGGCTCTTGTTGATTTGTAGAAGCTCTTCATTTCTGATACTAATATTTTTTTCCAAGTTTTCAATTTGTCTTTTGACTTCAAAGAGTCTTTTGAATGGACAATCTTACTATATTTTTCAACTTTGCTTTTGCAGTTTATGTATTTTATGTCCTATTTAAGATTGATCACACACGTTTCAGCTCATCGCATATCCTATGTTTTCCTGTCTAAAGAGCTAAGGACATTACTTTATATTTTCCACTAAGCATTTAAAATTTTTGGTTTTCACCAAAATCTATAGTCAATATGAATTTGAGTTATGTTTTTATGGTGTGCAATAGGGACCCAATCTCATATTTAATGTTAACTT